CGGACCAGCCTCCTTTCAGGTCACCCGGTTCACCGGTGTGTATGGGGGTTGCGTTTTATTGAAAATTTCATGCTCTTCTTGTCCGGTGCGCGCGCGCAAAATTGTCCTTCCCGGGTTTCTAGGTCAGCCATCCTGTTTGCAACGTTTGTCTGTTGACCCTCGAACCGGATACTGACCGTCATTAGGTGGTGCAGTGGAAATGCGGGAAATGTTGAGAAGCGAGGTCGAGTGGTGACGATGTCCGAAACGGAAATGCTGTACTTTGTGATTAGAGTTACTGCAGGCGGCTGCTTCTTCTAGATTATCTTATTTCTTGGAAATTTGTCATTTTAACGCTAGTTTCTCAGATTTGTATTCGTATCTTTTCTTGTAGATTTTTGTTGTTTCTTTCTATTTTTAACTTTATAGTCTTTCCTTTCGTGCTTTTTTAAAGGGTTATTGCTGGATATATTTATTTACATTTCCTGGTATATTTTCCGAGATTATCGTTACGGTGTCCTTTTGGATTACTATTTGTATACTTTCTTAAATGTTTTTCATTCGATAAGACTCTTTTTATGCCCATCTTTGAATATCCTTTACATTATTCATTTTCATGACTTATTCTGAAATCATTTTCTTTATATCTTGTCTGGGTAATATCATTGCAGAATGACTCGTTCATTTTTGGTCTACGAAATATTCTGTTATTCTCTCTAAGAATATGCAACACTATCAATTCATTTCACGTGTGATTAGCGTGAAATTCGAGCAGCAATGATTATTCCAATTAAGAAAACACGCTTCAGAGGTTCGTTGCCCTATCCACAAAAGCCTCGAACATCTGAAAGAATTCGCCCGCCTCCAGACAAAGAACAAGATATAGAAAAAAATAGTGAACGGATGATTACATTCCCATCTTTAGAAGCTACAGCGCTGGCTGCTTTTAGTACTTTTCTCACAGGCCACAGCCAAAGACAAATAAGCTGGTTTGACTGCAGAAACGCTCGCCAAAGGCTTCGATATAACGATTTCCTTATATTTTCTTGCGTCGCTGCATATCGAGCTTACTCTGTGACAATTTTAGCGTTAGATTTTGTCGAAACCATTCTTCCAACGATGCACTGATCGGTTCCAATTCAATGCGAGAGAATTCTTCTGCTGCTTCGTCGACATAACGTTGCGTTTCAACCGATCTCTCGAACGTGAAACGTCTTTGAAATTGTACAATAAAAATCTCTCTGTGCACGTTAAATACGAAGTATTTTTCAGTGGAATTTCACGAATTCCTCTTTCGGAACGCTTTTCTCTGTACGACGAAAGATTAATATCGTCAACGACAATGGAAGGAAATGCGACTGCCCATAAGGAGTTTCCTGCGGATTACAAACAGAACCGTGTTTCCTGCTTCTCCAATGGGAGATTCTGATCCTGATACGTGGATTGTTTAATTTCTTTTTAATTATTTTAATCCATTCGTGGTTACGATCTTATTGTGATACGTTGCTTAAACTAATTAGCTTGTCTTCTGTTATAATTTGATTTTTACACTTACTTCTTGCGTCTATTTTTTTTTTTTTTTCTAATGAACAGCTCTCTCGGATTAGAATAATCTGGAATATATTGAAAGAAAGTACTATGTATATAATTGTTTGTCTAACACATGTCTTCGACCAATACACTACACGATAGGATTATGAGGAATCATGTTAGAATTAATATGAAAGTAGCGAAAGAAGATGAATGAAAATTGATGAAGATGCTTTCATAATGGATAAAGTAGAATCTTATGAAATTTATAAAGATATAAACAGATCTTACAAACTTTATAAAGTATTATAATAAATGAGGAATGATTTGTGGCCAATGCAATAGCTTAGAACGTAATAAACGTAAAAAGTTTACATGTGTCAGATTTGAGCCAACTTGTATACTATTGTCTGAGAGTTAATATACGGTAGTTTTCGAAGAATCTTGTAACTTCCTCAGAGATACAATAATCTAGTAAAAGAATGGAATAATAAATCCATGGATATCTGTGGTATAAGCCAGCAAGCGAACGACTCGCATTTCTCTTCCTTTACGTTGGCCAAAAAGTAGAGGGTTGATGACGCCTTCTCCAGCAACCTCCTCCATATCAGGCGACATTACGTCTATTTTAGTCGACGACCTTTCCGTCCGCTGGCAAATATTTCTTTCTTTACTGCGACGTAAAGGTAACCTTCTACCTGTCGTTTACACAGGACTCAAGTTAGCCTGACGAAAGGCAGCTTCATCGATCGAGCAGGAAAAATGAAAAGTGACGGGACAAAGACCATCCCCGTTTACTATTCCTTCAGTAACCTTCTTCGACATATCAAGCTCAAGGCAGCCGTAAAAAGCCAGTCCATTAAGCACGTAAAAGCTTCTCTTGAAATCAAAATGAGCGTCTACCCGAAATAGAATATACTGTTCGCAGAATGATGTTGTGGTAGTCCATCTTAAACCGACAACTTTGAACCATGAATATATAGCTAATGATACATAATATCGTGTCAACTATCGATACACTATATTGTGTCAACTATACATAAAGTTTATAAGGCATCTTACACTTTGCCCATCCGATCGATTCAGACCATCCCTATAGATTCTTATTCTTCACCATTAACTCCAATAACTCGCAATTTTCTCAATCCGACACACAGGAACTACAGAAAGTTCAGCCATCGATACACGAAGTTTAAGAAGTACCTTATATCTCTCCTTTCGTTTTAAATCATCCCCTAAATTTTATTTTTTTACCGTGTCCGTTGCTTCTAACAACGCTCGATCTCTTCACGCTGCGATAAGATTCAATTATTTCCAATCTTTTCGTATAAAATAGAGAAGCTAAAGGAAGCTCAGCCGTCTCACGCTTCATCACTCTTTCATCTCAAATCATCCTCAGGTTTTTATTTTTCACCACGCCCCCATTGCTTCCGATAGACCTTGATCCTTGCAAACACCAACGAGTTCCAAGTTTTCTATACAAAGCAGGGAAATTGCAGAAAACCACCGATACACACAGTTTAGAAAATACCTTACGCTTCTCCTCTGTTTCGTCTGAAACTTTAATTTCAAAACATGCCCATACTTTAATTTTTCACCGTCTTCATTGCCTCTAACAATTCTCAACGTGTTTTCAAACTTTCCGCACAAAACGCAGAAACTACAGAGGCTTGCACATTTAGATGGTTGCAAAGTGCAACCCAGCTTCACCACTAGTCCCAAAAACCAGTCGATGGGGGGTCAGCCTGCTGTTTCAAATGTTACAGAAGGGTATACGGTTATAGTACTTATATTATCCCCTTTCTCGCTGCTGGCATTCATCCGTGAGTCATCGGTTCGTACTCAACCCCCGGGTGTGACGTCATTTCGACGTCCTCCACCCCATCTAGATCTACCGTCGGAAGCGTGTCATCGTTCGGTTATTATGCAAGGGAGGCCGAAAATCGCCAACCATTCTCTCGAGGATTCTTCCTCGATGGAACCACCGCTCTCGATAATCTTCTTCTCTATCAAATACGGATTGGTTTCAAGCAATAGAAACGAGAATTGAAGTGAGAGGGGATGAATCGGGTGGATAACGAATAGCTAGGCAGAAAGAAGAAGGAAAATGGGAGATTATAATTGTTGTATCCTAAATTAAAGGAAAAATTGTAGCGCAAGGGTTGATGTCTTTATGACAATTTTATTTGAATTTGTTAATACGTATACGTTTATTTTAATTTTTGGCACTGGTGGTAAGATTGGTTTTGTTTAACTGATTTTAGTTAGAAAATCGATTAATTAAAATTTTAATTAAGTTTAAATAACCATTATCAGTTAGTTTTTGCTTTCTCGGATAACCATTATCAACGGTTAAAATTTAAAGAATAGAAAATTTTCTTTGGTTACTTTCGACCTTGATTTTTATAACGTTGTTTTCTCCTCTATCGAATACGCACGAATTTCAACGGATAGAGACGAGGGTTAAAATAAAGGAGAATGGATCGAGTACTTCGATAACAGTTAGCCAGACAGAAGGAAGGAAGACAGATAAGTCTGTAGATGAACTACATAACAAGGAGACTCGTTCGGTAATTCGAGACATCGTTAAAATCTCTCTCTCTCTCCAACAATCGGTGAATGTACCATTTAGTTATCGTCAGGCCCTGCTTTTCTTTTGTCTTACGCTTTCGCTCTATCGTCGATCGAATCAGAGAGACGGAATGAATTACGTCCAGGAGGGTAGGAGTTCGGATCACGAGGAGGAACAACGTCTGGCTGATTGCAGGGGCGGAGATCGCAGTTTCCATTGAATCCGACTCTTCGGTTTTGATTTTTTTCATTTGAATCGAATTAATTTCCTTTGCTTTCGGGTTTTTGTTTTCGAGGTGACGTTCCTTGCAGACATATTATTGCAATGTGATATATTTCGATCTCTGTGTAGTTACAAATATTATAATAAGAATTTTCAAGGGTTTCTGAACGTAAGAATTAGGAATTATTACAAATTTCCCTACAGCTCTTGTTATTAAAAGATTCTTTTTCAGCAATCACTCTTAAGCTCTTACGATAATCCTAAACTAAGACAATGAAACGTTAGGAAATTCCCTCTTCATCTGAAACAGGCATACACTTCGTAAAACGGTTTAATATAATAAGAAAAAGAGAAATAGCGACACGCATTTATGTGGTTGCGCGTGACGTCACGTGCACAGAGTGTAGGTCTCCATTCAAAATGCGTCTCGCATTATCATTCAAGGCGGTTCACGAGGTTGGGGAATGAGAAATAATGCCGTCGACACGGTTCCTTTCAGCTATGGGTAAACACACCTTCCACCCCCCCTTTTTTTTCCTTTCCTTTCCTTTTCCTTTCCCCTCCTCCATTCATTTGCATCTCTTGGTCGCACGGTGAGATTAATAGACGAACGACTTGCTTGAATGCATCAGCGATTTAACGAGTCGCTGCTTCGATAATTTTCCTTGACTTTAGCATATTACTATTCGACGACCAGACGTACACGGGATCCATACTGGTGGCTGTGAATCCGTACAAAGAGGTGGACTTCTACACGAACGTGAGTAAATTAGAACCGTTTCGCGTGATTATCTTTTAATGCACGCTGCTTAAGACGAATACTAGATTCCTCTGACCTTTCTTTTTTTTTTTTTTTCTTTATTTGAATCGAGGCAATTGTTCGATTGGGAATCATAGGGGTTATGAGTTGAAATTTTACTTATTGTAATGGATTGGTAATGAATGGAGGTAATTAGCGTTATCGAGAACGTGAATCATAATACGGATATTAGTGTAGAGTGAGTCTTTCATCGTAATATATTTCTAGAGCGAGTAACGTAATATAGAAGAGATTTCTTTATACGGTGAAATCTTTCGACTAGCCAGGAATACCAAAATAATATTACAAGAAATTTTTATTTATATATTTTTGAAAGTTAATTGGACCCAAAAACTTGTCCTTTCCTTATCAGCTACGTTACATTAACTTCTCCAGTGCGTACTAAATTGTAGGAAAATTTGTAAAGAGGAAGCACCTCCTTTTCATATAAATATTTATAAAATTATATAATATTCTTCTAAGAAACGTTCTAGTTTCTTATATTTATCTTTCTTAGAGAAAGTAATAGTTTTGGTATGCCGATATATTTTATAGAATATTAACTTTCTCTGCAGATTCTACTATGTAGAGAAGAACTTTTATAAGAATACGTGTTTTAAATATATCTCACGATGAAATTGCTACATACCCGAGGATTGCAGCTGAATTAAAACAACAAAGAGTGTGCCGCGGTTGCTGAAATGCGCAATTACTTACGCACTTCCGGCGTCAAATGTATGCAGGAAGTGCTGTCGAAGAATAGCAAATATTAAACACGGCGTCTGCCTCGAAGAACGGAGCAGACTGCACGTGCCTATCCCCTCTCCTTTGCAAGTAATAATTGGTTTCTCCTATCGTATACAATTAAGAATTTGGTCACGTGTATAATGAAAGATTCATTATTAAATTACTCCTGTGGAAGAACCGTTTAGAACGTTCAAAAATTATCAGAGTTATTAATGGTGGAGAGTTTCTTCTCTCTTTTTTTTTTTTTTTAATTATGAAATAATTCCAAAACTATTTTGAATAATTGCATAATAATGTTCAAGTAATTTGCCAGAAATATTACGAATGTTTCATTATTAAATTATTGCTGTGAAGAAGTTTTCAGAAGCTTGAAAAATTCTCGAAATTATTAACGATAGAATTTTTTACCCTCCTTATTATTAAATCGCGTAATAATATCGCAAACAGTACAATATAATTTTTATGCTAATGGTTCATTTCGAAGTTACAGTATTACTTCCATTATGAGGATGAAACATGCTTGTTACGTTAAATAAGAACACAGGGGGAACTTGGTAATTTACAGTGAATTATATTTTAAAGTAACGCGATGTACGTTTTTAAGTGGTTTATTTCATCAACGTGGAACAGAATGCCTTTAAGTAAATCCATATTTTAAAAATAGCGTTATATCATTTCGAACAATCTTTTTTGTTTCATTAACAATTTATTTATAAAGATTGCGTTTGTTAATTGCAATATAAAACCGAAATATATTTATTGCGATAATTAGGAATACATATTATGGAAGAGAATAAATGGTAATTTATTGTGAAAGACGTGTTATAATAACGCGACGTACATTTTTATCAAATATATTTCGTCGACACAAGAGAATGCCGACGACAGGACGCCTTTATCGTATTGGAATTGCTAGGCCTCGGTTTGAAAACAGGAAACGGAAGCCACGACGTGCTTTCGTGGAGATATCGCGAAATGACCGATCAACTCTTGAAGAGTTTTGTAGGTCACGATACACTCCGTTGCCGACGAATCGATGAGTAATCCATTTATTTTTACAGCTGCGAAAACACCAAACTTCCCTCATTTTTTATATTATATATTTCTGTAAACTGTAAATATCGCTAAAAACTATTATATTCCTACTTCTCCTTTCATTTCAACGTATGAATTATTCAAAGATATTAATTCGCGTGAAACTTAATTGGACGATATATCTTTATCTTCCTATTCTTTCCTTCTTGATTATCGACGTTCAGCTTGCAGATATAAATATAGATACAAAGTTTGTTTAATTGTAATTAAAACATATTTTTATTATGTATGAACACTGCAGATCCTATTTACGACGAGATCCATCGACGGTGGAAGTTTCAAACCATTTTCCATTTTCATACTGCAAAAATATTCTTCGGGCTCCCAATAAGATAAGATTACCCATATCGTCTTGCCCATATCATCTCCGAAAACACTTTCGAAAACACTTTTAGAAGCCATTTAAAAAGCATTTTCGCAAGCACAACGGCAAATTGTTTCCTATCTGGTCCAAAAGGCTGAGAGACACGGTCCCTGATGTCCTGGCGTGTTCTCGATAATCGTCTGGCGTTGCACTTTTCTCTCTTTTCCCCTATGGTGTGCGTAGCTTTAATCTCTATTTCGAGGCGTGCAAGCATCGAGCTTAAAACCATCGGCGGCGTTAACGCGCGTATCAGCCTGGTTGAATTAGGGTGCAGGCTGCGCGCGAGGACTTATTTCGGGATCGAGTGGCAGCCACTTCGTACGTAAATACGGGTCGCCGACAGTGAAACAGTCCTCGAACGGCATTCGACCCTTCGACTGACGTGTGGCTTCGTCAAGGAAAAAAAGTAAAAAATATGAAAGGGCTGGGCGATTAAATGGAATTAAAGCAATAAAGAAAAAGCCACGGCACAATAGAATTTGCTCCGAGCCAGCGGTTTAAACCTTTCCACCTGGTCAAGCTCGAACGACTTTTTTAATCTTATTTTTATCGCCGAATATAGAATTTCTCTTTTTCTCATTTTTCCATCTTTTATTCGTTTTATACGCTCGTATATTTTTGTAAGTTTTAATCTGTTCGCGTTGTGTAACTTTTCTAGATTATTATTATCATTTCTTTAAAATATTTGACAAGTAGTTCGCTAAATAGATTCTTTTGGTTGTTATCTTTTTCCTGTGCTAAAGAATAGGCAAGATTTTTTGCTTGTTTAATATCTTTTAACTTACTAGCTAATTTCCTTTGTTTGGTTGAAATAATTTCCTAGAGAGATTTAAAACAGTGTCTTTCTGTGCGCTTCAAGTTCGGCTGGTTTTTACAGACTGTATGTGCATGTAGGTAATAAGTTCACGAGAAAAACCGCTTTGATGCTGTAACCCGTGTCTCTACTTCGATCGCGTTCCTTTGACTTTATGAACTCGCGCTGCACATACCAAGCGAGTACCGCGTTTTAAAAAGGTCTTGAAAAATGACTTTTCTCGGTAGTACTCTCGGTAATGCGTAATAAAATCAAATATTTTGCCCATTAGCCGTCACGGCAATTTATGAAATGAAATATAAATTAGAAACTAAACAATTTTATTTGTTTTATCATCGAACTGTTTTTCCTACAATATAAGAGAATCTATTAATATATCAATAAGTTGTGGCTTGTAATGTTTCGCTGATAGTAACAGTTCAATCGTATAAAAAGGTTCGTATGTCCTAATATCTATAGCGTTTCTAGAACCTAACAGGGCGTTGGCATCACTTATGAGGAAAATTTCAAGTCGCATATTATTCAGAATATTCAATCGTTAAAGGCTATCGTGTCTGAAAGTCCACGCTCATATGTATCTCATTTTAACATTATCACTCGATAATGATAGCATCGTTATTCTATTATGATCATGTTATGCAAATAATAATGTTTTCATTTTCCATGTAACATCGAACACGATGCTAATGAGGACTGTTTTATCTCTTATTTATCTTTACAATAAGCCATATATATCGTACATTTGTATGAAACTTTCATTACGATAGAGTTATCGACAGCTGATCTCTTTTGACGAAGTAAACTTCGTTACATTAGCACTAATAGAGTACAGTTTAATCAAGTAGGTCTCCTTACAAATGAGAAGATAGGCTAATCGTAGGTCTAATCGTAGGAGATTTGATGAATTATCTGTGAAATAAGAAACAGACATATTTAAGTAAAATTTCACTCATAATAGAATTAACGAGAGCTGATTTCTTTTAACGACAGCTTCTGAACGTTAAACAATTTTTAATGAGTTTAATGAAAAAAGGTAATTAAAAGAGAAAGTACAAAGGATCGTGAGAATAGATCGGTAATTTCGAAGGTCAGTCGGGGTACCAAAGGACCCCTGGCTGGCAAGAAGGAAAAGGGTGGCTCGCTGTGGTGCACGCCCCGTGTTATTGATCGGGCTGGAGCGCACATCGGATTCGGAGACTCGTCGTGGTTACCCTGGAGCCTTTGGAGCCACGTCCTTTCCTCTCGTCGGCGACAATGCCCGGGTACACGTGTCGATCCTCATGAATCTATTACCGATTTCTGCTTGAAATTGAATGTGTGCATTGAAAATCGAACACCAATGTCATGCATCTAGAATAATCGTTCACTCATGAAAGATATGGGGAAAAAATGGGCAACGTCCATTCCATCGATTTTTATGGTGTATAGGGAAGTTTTTCGGTAAGAACTGCGACTATAGCATTATTTACCTTTCTTATGATTAGTTAGAGTGGTGATTTCTCGTTACAATCCAATTCGTTGAACCTTGCTCCTGCAAATATTGATTTAGTCTGTTGCTTTATTAATTGACCACGGCTATGCCCCACCGCTCTTAAAAGTTAAGCCTTGTTTCGGAAATTGACCACAGACTTGAATCTTATCCTCAGGAAAAAATAATTTACAAACTCGTAATATTTTCTTACTTTACTTTCTTTCTATTCTTCCTTCCTATAGAATACAAATTATAGTAATTGAAATTGAAAAGGAAGATCTTCCCTGGTAGGAAAGTTTTACATGCTTAATAATTTATAATTTCCACAGTGTCCACAATTTGCAAAACGTGCAGCTCATTGTTTTCCAATCGACGGGAATTATACCTATTAATCCACTTGTCATAATCGTTAACCTAACTCGTAATAGGAACTTGGAAACACAGTTAGCAAGTCTCAGCGGTCTCAGCAT